CCAGGCTGATGTCGGCCAGGCTCACCCTCTCCCCCACCAGGAACGTTCTGGTCCGCAGGTGCCCGTCCAGGACCCCCAGAACCTTCCGCACCTCCTCCTTGGCCAGCTCGGTGGCCTGCGCCCCAAAACGGGGGGGACCCCGAATCAGGGAGGGGAGCCTGAAATGGGGATGGGGAACCCGAATCAGGGAGGGGACACCGAATTGGGGATGGGGACCCCAAAACAGGGAGGGGAACCAGAATTGGGAGGGGGACCCCAAAATCAGGGAGGGGACCCCGAAACAGGGAGGGGAACCTGAAATCGGAGAGGGGGACCCCAAAATTGGGATGGGGAAACTCAAAATGGGGATGGGGATCCCAAATCAGGGAGGGGACCCCAAATTGGGATGGGGACCCCAAAGCAGGGAGGGGACCCCGAATCAGGGAGGGGACCCCGAAATCGGAGAGGGGGACCCGAATTGGGAGGGGGACCCCAAAATCAGGGAGGGGACCCGAATTGGGATGGGGACCCCGAATTGGGGAGGGGGAGCCCAAATCAGGAGGGGACCCCAAAATCAGGGAGGGGACCCCGAAATTGGGATGGGGAACCCGAAATCAGGGAGGGGACACCGAATTGGGAGGGGAACCCGAAATCGGAGAGGGGGCCCCAAATCAGGGAGGGGACCCGAATTGGGAGGGGGGAGGGGACACCGAATTGGGAGGGGACACCAAATTGGGGAACCCGAAATCGGAGAGGGGGCCCCAAATCAGGGAGGGGACCCGAATTGGGAGGGGGAACCCCAAAATTGGGGAATGGAAACCAAAATCGGGATGGGGAACCCCAAAATCAGGGAGGGGACCCCAAAATGGGGATGGGGAACTCAAAGGTTGGGAGGAAAACCCCAAACCCACCCCAGGCCCTCCCAAATCTCCCCCAGACAGCTCAAAAAAAACCCAAAACCCCCCAAAAAATCCCCAAATCCTCCCCAGACCTGTTTGTTGCAGTGCAGGGCGCCCAATGTGGGGAACAGCCAAAAAATAAAATTCAAAAAAAACCCCTCAAATATTCAAAAAAATTCCTAAAAAATTCCCAAAAAATTCCCCAAAAAACCCCCAAAAATTCCCAAAAAATTCCCAAAAATCCCCAAATTCCCTGTCACCTGTTTGTTGCAGTGCAGGGCGCCCAACGTGGGGAAGAGCCAAAAAATAAAATAAAACCCTCAAAAATTCCCCAAAAAAATGAAAAAAAATCCCAAAAAACCCCCAAAAATCCCAAAAAATCCCAAAAAATTCCCAGAATCCCCACAAAGCCCTGGCACCTGTTTGTTGCACTGCAGGGCGCCCAACGTGGGGAACAGCCAAAAAATAAAACCGTCAAAAATTCCCCAAAAAACCCCAAAAAAACCCCAAAAACCCCCCAAAAAATCCCAAAAATTCCCAAAAATCCCCCAAACCCCTGTCACCTGTTTGTTGTAGTGCAGGATGCCCAGCGTGGGGAACACCCAGGTGCTGGCCGGGGGGACGACGTCGCTGTCGGCGAAGTTCACCCACTGCAGCACGGCGGCCGCGGCCTCGGGGGTGCTGCCCCGCAGCTCCTCCGTGCTCACTGCACAGGAAAGGGTTAATTAATTAGCCAGCAAGGTCATTAATTAGCCAAGAAAGCAATTAATTAGGGGAGGGACTCGTTAAAGGGCAGGAGGAGTCGTTAATGAGCAAAGGGGGATCGTTAATGGGGAAATAAAGTGATGAGCACAGCTCCTCCTGCTCACTGTGCATGAAAGGGTTAATTAATCAGCTACCAAAGCCATTAATTAGCCAGGAGAATGATTAATTAGGGGAGGGACTCGTTAAAGGGCAGGAGGAATTGTTAATGAGCAAAGGGGGATCGTTAAGGGGGAAATAAAGTGATGAGCTCACTGCACAGGAAAGGGTTAATTCATCAACCAACAGGGTCATTAATTAGCCAGGAGGGTTATTAATTAGCCAACAAAATAATCAATTAGGAGAGGGACTCATTAAAGGACAAGAGGAGCCGTTAATGACCTAAGGGGGATCGCTAACGAGCCATCAGTGCTTGAGCTCTGCAGGAAGGGGTTAATTAGGTCGTTAATTAATTAATCAAGGCGAAGGAAGGCGCTAATTAGGGCCCAATCAGGCTAATTGCACACCATAGTAGGCGATGGCGTTGCTCTCGAAGACGCAGAAGCCGTCGTCGCCTTCGAAGGCCGGGACCTGCGCGGAGGTCGGGGTGAACCCAAAAACCCAAAAAAAATCCCAAAAAACCAAAAAAAAACCCAAAAAAACCAACCAAAAAGCCAAAAAAAAACCCCAAAAAACCCCCAAAAAACTTTAAATCCCCAGCTGAGAACCCCCAAAAAAACCCAAAAAAAACCCCCAAAGAACCCCAAAAAAATCCCCCAAAAAAACCGCACAAAAAAAACCCCTAAAAATCCCAAAAAACTTTAAAACCCCAGCTAAGAACCCCCCAAAAACCCTAAAAAACAAAAAAAAC